TTTTTTTTTTTTTTTTTTTTTTTGTCATGCTGAGGAAGTTTTATTTTGGTATTTCATCAGTGAGAAAAAAGGTGAAATTGAAATCTCCGAAGTCCAGGTGCATTTGGGTGTTGGTCGCTGACTATGTGAAATACATGTATTTTAGCTGTTACATGTATATAAAGATAGCATAAAACACTGCATTTGCGGTGTGAGTTTCAACTCTTGTTTTAAATCTTTTAAGATACTGGAGTATCAGGGATAACCTGTAACTTTGAGGCTGGGATGTGTGGCTTGATGCCTTCTTATACGTCAAGTGCTTACAGCTCGTTCAAGTGGACTCGGGGTAGAGGCCGCACATCCTCCTCCTACACAGGCCCCACCCATGACCACACGACGCTGTCGAGCACAGGTAAGTTTCTATAATACTACATTCATCGTGTTTGTCTATCAGTATTTCGATATAAATCATTTGTCTTTTAAACTGGCACCAATTTCCGTTAAGATAAAGCCGTTATTTGTTTATACCAATGTGAAGGGTCTTAACACCAGGAGTTGTTTCAATAGCTAATAGCTAAGGCGAATACAGTTCCATTTGTCATATAGCTATAGAAAAAATACCTGCGATTTATCAGAAAATATTAGCAGAAATATGGACTGATAATAAAATCTCTTTTTGTTCAACTATTGGCAAACGAATCTCTAATTGCCTTATTGAAAACTAGGTGGGTTTTAAGCTACGACGGGTTTGTGTGTGGTTGTGGGATGAGAAAAAAAAAGAAATGCCCGTTGTTTTAAGAAGGCACTTTAGATATTTAACAGCCAAGACAAACATGACTTTCGTCCTGCGGTCAATAACATGGTCGTCAAAGACAAATTAGACGCGTTGGTAGTAGGGTATATATTAAAACCTCCGGAATTTATAGCAAAAACTTTTCATCTATAGTGACTATGAAACCTTTTTAAAATTCGATGATGTTCTGATATAGGTTACTACGCGTACCTGGACGGAACGTACTGCTACTCTGGCAGGACCGCCGAGCTTTTGACACCCACCATTCTTGCCAACACTACAAGGACGGTGTATAATATATCATTCTGGTATCACATGTATGGCTCAAGTATGGGCGCATTGAATGTGTATTTGACAGTACAAGGCAGGAAAACTCTCATCTGGATCGCTTCTGGAAACCAGGGCAACGCATGGAAATACGCTGAAGTGTTGAAACTCGCCAGCGGCAACTTCACGGTTAGGGATAATCTGTTATTCTTTGATTTCACTTTGGAATGGCTAATTATGACAAAAAGAATATTCTTTGACTTTTTGAATTATTCCTTTGACTTGTTGAATTATTTCAATAAAATGCTTTGTGCATTTTGCTAAAGAGGAAGCCACATCAAACTATAATTCCTAGCACTAAGTCTACTAACTTAAAAACAAACTTTAATTTCGCGTTATCTTTTAGATAACCTTCCAGGCCGTGTGTGGCGGGTCATACAGCAATGATATTGCTATAGACGATATATCTATCAAGAAACAAGAAGGTTACTTTATTTAATGGAAAATTTTTAAACTGGCGAAGAATAATGGAATCATAAGATTAAAGTCAAGAGTATTCATTGCCGATTGTATAGAGTCTTACACTGTGTTTGTTAGGTGATAAACGTATCTTTAATCAATCAATCAATCAATTAATATATATATATATATATATATATATATATATATATATATATATATATAGAAAGAGAGAGAGAGAGAGAGAGAGAGAGATGATGTTTTATCTTGTAAAACTTGCATCATTCAGGCGCTACAACCGTTCCCGACGAGAAGCTACAAGGTTAGGACCTACATGTATATTGTTTTGAAATATCAGCGTTATTTCTTTTTTCAAGAATCACCAAACAATTCCTCAAAATGTAGGTAAACTAAAGTTCAGCTCATTAAGAGCAAATAGAAATATGTGTGAAGCTAAGATTATGACTTGCTGTCAGTCACAATGTGAAATACTGGAAGATCGACGCATCAAATTGTGTCACACGTGTTCCATTTAGTGTATAACAGATAGAATAGGCCATAAACCTTGAAAATACAGTTTGACGAAAATGCAAGCTCAACCGGAGATGCACATGGTATTGTTTTATTTTCGATGTAGTATAGAATATGACATTCGTGATATTAGGTTAAATTGTATTGTACAAAATCAAGACTCGCCCTACTCTGTACCAAGTACAGACTGGCTGGGTTAAGGCAAAAAGTCCTCACAGAGCAGAAATACGCACAGTTCATGGCTAGTCGGAGAAAAATATCTGCTGCCAATATCTAATGTTTTTTTCTCTGTGATCCTGGTAAAAATTAACCCAACTCACCCCTCTTGTTTCAGTGCGGCTGGTTGGTGGCTCTGTGGCACGTGAAGGTCGCGTAGAGATCTATTATCTGGGACAATGGGGCACAGTTTGTGACAGTGACTGGAACATCAGGGACGGTCAGGTTACCTGTAGAATGCTGGGATACAGGTATGAACTACTTTTGTGAGCATCTTGGTAAAGAGAACTCCGTTTGTCCCCTTCTGGCCCTTTCGTAGTGACCATTAAAGATTGAAAGACGATGACAGCTTTGCTTTCAAAGTTTACTTAGTTTTTTCCCCAAACCACCATGAGCCAAAATCATAAAAAAGTTTATTGCGATTGTATAACAGGATATGTTATTAGTGTTTACGAGGATTGGGTTTAAAGCTTCATCAAACTCATAAAATGCATTGTTAAAGATTTATTTAACTGTGCGTCCGTTTTACACAGTAGTGAAGGTTTACGTCATTCTCACTGGACCGGTTGTGTTTCAGTGACGCAGTAGCGGTGTACCCCAGCGCTAGGTTTGGCCAAGGAAACGGGACATTGATGCTGTCCCACATAAACTGTACAGGAACGGAGTCTTCTTTAGAAGAATGTGACAAACCCCTCTGGGTCACAACCTGTAGCTATTACCAGGACGCGTCTGTCCGGTGCAAGGATCCAGGTAACTGTATATTTAAAACGTCAGTATATATCTACTTCTTTGCGTTGTTTTTAGCTTGGACAGAATAACGGTATAATGCGTTATTATGTCAAAGTTTGTAGTTTAAATTTGCTGTTTGATATTACTTAATATATACATGTAATGCATAACTTTAGTGTTAGCATGGAATTCTGTCAAAATAACTGTTTACTATATTGTTACTGTAAACACTCATAAGAACATAGACATAATATCACGTATGACGCTATAAAGCGATAGTAAGAAAAATTGCGCCCCCCCCTTTTTTTGCTGTCACCACTGCTACTTTAATAGTGACAAAATGTTCAAAACACTGTCTTGTAATAAAAAAAGGACTGTACATAACAATGACTCAATTTCGTCCTAAAAAGTGAGATGCAGACGACCACTCCCTTCCAGTCTTGGTTCTTACATGTACATGTATGATGTAGGCTATGTAGTATGATGAACTTAGCATTTACTCTTATGAAGTACTGTCAGGCTTAGTCTACATTTCCGTTTTTTCCAGGACTGGCGTCCGTAGAATGCACGTTTGAGGCGGATTTCTGTGGTTACAATCAGAGCTACTCCAATAATCTGAACTGGGTCCGAAGTCAGGGATACACATATTATTCTAACGCTCCCGGCAGTGATCACACTCTTGACTCCTCATATGGTATAAACTTGTAGTCATAAAGGCCTAACTCCTTTCTTGTCAATTTTTCATTCTTAAAGTGATAATAACTCTTCGTTTCGGCCAAAAAATGAATTTTCCTGGAGTAAACAACAATTTTCCCATACTTACCAATGGTTAATGAATCCATTTTTACATTCAAAGTTAGTCCCTGGTTTTTTTCTAAAAAGTTTGGTTTTTTGTTAAAATCTCTTAAGAGATTTTAACAGAGTATAGCCATCAATGGAGGTCACGTGGTCTAAAGACAAGCTCAGATATCAGAATAATAGCTATAACAGCCGTTTTTGTGGGAAAACAGAATATATTATATTTTTATGAGCCATTCACAATGTTTTTATTGTGAAATACAGATTTCATACGAAGAGTTATTATCCCTTTAAGGAAAATGAGAAAAGAGAAAATGAAGTCTTTGTATTTGATTGATTAACCTGTCATTGAATAGATGATGCAAAATTTGTCGAAATTCATTGTCGAAATATTGAGAGATCTCACAGACGCATATAACCTGGATGCATGGTCACTTAAATCAGAAATAAAGCAGGTTATTGAGAAACTCGACAGTCTTCTCAACTGTATCACATAGAAAGTTAAATGATTCCACGCGAACAACACGCACAGTCACAGGGGGAAACATGACAAATTTCAAATAAGGTATTGCGGTATTTATATAATGCCACACAACAACACGAACGCCAAAACCAGAAGGCAAAATAACAAATCTTGAATAACACGTACTTTCTGAATAAATGTCAGTCACCCCTTTACAGGATACTATATCTACATGTCGGGCAGCAATGGGAGACCAAATGAAACCGCGCGGATAACGTCCCCTGTGATCAAAGTGAACACCAGCACGGTCTACAACATATCGTTTTGGTTCTACATGAGGGGTAGAGAGCTCGGTTATATCAGGGTGTTGGTGAAACGTTCTGAAACGATGGAACAAGAACTCTGGAACTTTACAGCAGTTACAGGAAGTTATTCTTGGCTAGGTCACTTTCTTCACATCTCGACCAGTAGTGATTTTCAGGTATGATGTCAGTTTTGTCCAGAAGTCAGCATATATCAACAACACATGGATCATAATATGTCTGTCTCGTATCTTGATATACGACGAAGGTGGTTGATGGTTGATAGGAGACGCTAAATAGTAAATCATTCCTTTCACAATGGCTCCGTTCTTATAGTCGATTAGTAGATGTTGTGGGGCGTTTTAAGCTTTGTCAAATCTAATTTGTGTGTGGAATACATTTGCACATCAAAATAGATCTACTCTTTTGCGTAATATTTTGACAGGTCATCTTTGAGGGCGTGAGAGGAGGAGATTCAAGATCGACCATAGCCTTGGATGATATATTTATCTGTCCAGTGAAAGGTAGGTGTAGCTCGATTTGTCTATCACCGTATGTATAACCCCGTGAAGAAGTGCTATTCCATTTTTGCCAATGAAAAATACTTTGGGTGTTATCAACCTAATATTCTACCAGTGTTGGAAAACGGCTACCTCCATTCTCTCCATCTATAGCATGCATGCCAACGGCGTGGAAAGGTGTCACAAGCAAGAGTGTGACCACCTTTTTCTTTCTTGAAGTATTAAATCTTTTTGATCCAGTCCATTTGGCAGCAAGACACACACACACACAGACACACACACACACGCGCATGCACGCAGGTACGCACACAAACACACGTTTAAATCAATTGTTTCAGGGAACACTACACTAGTACCAGTTACCGTTGATGTGCGTCTGGCCGGTGGTTATTATCCCTGGGACGGCAGAGTGGAAATCTACCACGCAGGGGTGTGGGGCGACATCTGTGGCTCTGGATGGGACATTTATGACGCGCAAGTCGTCTGTAGGATGCTAGGCTATCGGTGAGGTTTAATCTTACTTACATGAAGAGAACAATGATTATCAACACTCTTCTACTCATTGGCTATTTTGTATTTCATGTTATTCCCAGAGAGGAAGAGTGACTAAACATGCGAGGGATTTTGTTTGCCAATAAACGATACCGGGGGTGTTTGTCACCTACTGGAAATAGTAATTGTTTTTTGAGTTAGCAAATGCATGTAAACTAGTGACGTGTCACTGCCGTTCACCTAAAATTTATGTTTGAGAGATCAACAGAAATTTGAAACCAAGAGGTGGGAGTACATTATTGGTACAGAAAGTGGGCGACTCTATCTCCCACCCTCTCTCTCTCTCTCTCTCTCTCTCTCTCTCTCTCTCTCACGCACACACACACACACACACACAAACACACACCTTTGTGGTTGCATAGATTCCAACTACATGCATGTCCTTATACGACGAGTTCGACGGTTGTATTACAGTGGGGCTGACGCTGCTTACACCGGCAGTAGCATGTGGCTTTACAGCTCTGTCTCCAGGACCTGGCTCAGCGATGTCGACTGTGTGGGGTTCGAATACTCCCTGGAATACTGTACTCACTCCAGATGGGGCTTCACCGACTGTTTTGGCAGCGCTAAGGCCGGTGTTAGGTGCACTTCCCCTGGTAAGGTTTAGATGATTAAAGAGCTCATTTTGAGATTGTTTAACCCATACAAGCAATATGGAGATGAGGCACCCTTTAGAATTGATGAGATAAGGTATCTATTGTCTAAGGGAGACGAATTCGAGTATCAAATGATAAAGCATTCTTGTACCAGTTTACGGAGGTGATCTGCCCTCGGTTTTCCTGGTGTAACCGCCCAGTCGTCCTTAAATTTCAACTGTATAGAAATTCACAACAAGATTTGTATGACTCGATCATTGAGGAGGATATTTTTGTTTGACAACGATATTCATTCTACTTCGTTTCAGAAAATACTAATACCACAATTCAGTCAAATGTGACTTGTTCCTTCGAATCAGGGTCATGTGCTTTTGAAAATTTGTCCACGTCTTACAATTGGTCAGTTATAACAGGCAGCACTCCATCTAGCGGGACAGGACCTTACACTGACCACACCTTGGGCACTTTATCTGGTGAGTTCATATAAAGGTCATTGGCCATCCTGCCTCTCCTACTTTTTAAAACATTCTCGATTTAGGTGCACTCAGTTTGACGTTGGTGACCCTTTGTCATTGAAGGGTCAGCATTTTAAAGAGTACTTTAAGTATGTCTTTTGAGAAAAAGCGGTTTTATTTGAAGCTATTTTCAGTCTTACACAGACAATTAAGGTATATACAAAACCTTGACCTCCTGTAAATTACTGATCATTCTCCCGATTTTCAAGATTTAAACGTTATTAATGGACTTGTGAATCAATGGTTAAAATGTAACTTATATGAAATGTGTTTTAGGGGACCCATAATCTCACTATTGTATCCATGGGTTTACCGTCGGTCAGTCCCAAAGAGGGAAAAGGTAACATACTGTATGCGGTGCTCGGTAGAAAACTTTACAATGGATGAATTACCGGGACTCATTGGACCGCATTCAGTTATGAAACTTTTTCAATCTTAGTTTTCAAACATAAATCGTATGTATACTGGGTTCTGTATTTGTATATTTACAGACAAACGATTGTTTAATTACAGGGCATTACATCTATGCGGAGGCAAGCTCTGTGTCCAGTGGTGCCAACACAATCTTGATATCGCCTCCACTGGAGCCCCGTGGAAGAAAATCGTATAACGTATCATTCTGGTATCATATGCATGGTGATGAGATGGGGGCACTTAATATTGGTGGCAGGTCGCTCAGCTCATCGCAAGTAGAAATAATGTGGACGACGAATGGTGATCAAGGAAATACTTGGAGAAGAGGTGAAGTGTTGGTAGTGACAAATTCGTCATTTCAGGTAATTTTTTTACCTATTGCAAATGTACGTGTATGTAACATTACGGTTACGTGTATTTGTTCTTGGTTTCTTTGGCTACACACCCAAAAACGCGCAGCCTCCCTCTCCCAATCCCTTTCTCTCCTAAAGATGCATTTCATGCATTCAGTGAGAGTGAATTATTTTACTAGGTTTTTGTAAGTTATCAGTTGAGAACGCATTTGACGTTGTGCACGTTTCAAATTTGAGTGAATGGTAAAAATCCGGATTTATACATCGATATTTAAGATATGGTGTTCGGTGTGGTATCTGGATTAAAAGCACTATATACTTTAGGCTAAGTTGAAGGCTTTGATGTGATCATTCTTACACAAAATACATTGAATTGGGGTGTGGTAACCCTTTTTATCAGATGATATTCAATTCCATTTATTGCTTTTAGATTATATTTGAAGCTATCTGCGGTTCTGGTTTCCGCTCCGATGTTGCACTAGACGATATCAGCATTGTTCCTATCACACGTAAGTGCCTTACATATTATAGTTTCTTGTGTAACAGGCTGAGATTTGCTCCATGGATCGGGCTAATAATTGAATCGTTTTTTAGCAATTTCACAGTTATATTGGTTGAAAGATAATTGTGCTGTTGTGAGGGCTTCAAATTGTACAAGTTCGTGTGTGTGTGTGTGTGTGCGCGCGCGCGCGCGCGCGCGTGTGTACGCGTTTGAGAGAGAGAAGGAGAGCGTTTTTAGTATTCCATATACACTGTATCACAAAACCCATTGCAGTACCTCCTACCCATCAAGCAACGTGCAATTTTGAAAATGGAACCTGTGGATTTCTACAGGATATGACAGCCCCTGTAGGCTGGCTTATCAGCAATGACTCTACAATGGTATCAGCAGATCATACACTACAATCCCGTTCAGGTAATTTGTTTGGTTTTTTTACTCATACGTGTACACGTGTGTCTGCCATTTCTGAATTCATACTGTATACTATAATACAGTATATAACGTGCCTATAACTATATGATAAACTGAATGTAAGACTGGGTTCCCATCCCTAGATAGATCCATCTGGATCGATCTATCACCCTGGGGAGTCTCACTAAATTGCTATCAACTTTACCGGCTTAAATGTCTGTCACGCCGACCGAATCAGCTATGGGGTATAGATAATTACCCCCTAACAGCTTTTCTAGGCGTCACAGACATTTAAGACGGTTAAGTTGATAGCAATTTAGTGAGCCTCCAAATATCTGTGGGAATGGTCCCTTATGGTTTAGCCGCAATAATCTGGATCAGAACATGCGATTAATGTCATCTGTACAAAGTAAAGGAAGACTGGCCACTGCCAGGGGCAATCCTAGAGAGGGGCAATTGTTCTTCTCAGAGAGGCTAACCATTTTCAGGGAATGTACGCACAGACAGAAAAGCATGGATTGTGGGAACGTTACTAATGAAGCCACTGGTAGTAGTACTAGTATACATTAGTCTGTAGTCTTGAACACTTGAACATTCGATGACGAATGAATAGTTGTCAAAAACAAAAGACTCCGGTGTGGTACATCCATATGAACTACTCTTAATGCGTGCCGCAAATGTCAAGCCCTAAATTAAATCAGCCCCATGACTAATTGCCCTTGAATGTTACAAACCAATATCCGGTGCCGACGGTTAGGCTCGTCTTAATTGTATAAGTAGCGCGTTTCCAACCCATACCTCTTCCTCTTCCTGCCAATCCGAATACAGCGGCCACTTCTTCATTTACTACGGTCGACATAGTTCTTTCTACAGATAATGGCGCACAATCGTAATAAGCCGATTTCCTCTGGTCGTGAATTCAAACCATTTACTGTGATGGGTAAAATGAGTTTACCACGCATGCGCGCCTTTAACTGAGGAAAGGTGGGAGGGTAGGGAGGGAAAGAGATTTTAATTTAAACAAGAAAAGTGCATTGACTGACCCCTTATTTCCTTTATTATAGGCCACTATTTGTACGCCAGGAATACCTATGGCACAGGCGCCCGGTATATCTCGCCGCCCCTGGCTAGTAATACAAGGTATATCGTGTCCTTCTGGTACTTGTTCCCTAGTTTCTACAGAGCAGCTCTGTTTGTCCTGGTCCATGGGACAGAGAGAGACGTTCGGTGGTCAATCAGCGGCTACGGCGACATCAGTTGGCGCTATGGGTACTTCATCCTGACTATGAGCCGCGATTTCCAGGCAAGTGTGAAAAAAGCTGGGTGGTCTATACGGGTACAGCGGCCTTTAACAGATAATGGCTTGCTTGCGCTGTTAGCCCATTTTCAGGGCAGAAACCACCAAATAATTTCCCATTGACGACCATACTAAGAAATGCCTGCAAAAATACATGAACAAAATTACTCTGTGAAACATTTCCCATCCCCATGGACAGCAGACACACTGACATAACTCCCAGTGGCAAAAAATATACTGTCATCAAGTCCACTGTCTTACCGGCATCACTTGAACATGTGCACCCCTCTGTTTGTAAACAAACCACTGCACCACTCACAGTCAGTAGCTCCCTCCGCCAGAGGTCTCACGTACGACTGCACCGCACCTGTGCCTGGTCCTGAAAAAAAAAAACTGGCAGTAGTTTACACCCTAGCCTGCTAGTTGATACCAAAATTAACCCTAGCAACATTCGTCTATAACAGCCGCTGAATGGCTGATTTAGTGGTTTCTGCCCTTCATAGCTCGTGTGAGCATGCCTACTTCCGGTAGTGCGGGAAGCCGCTGCTACTTGATCGGAAGTACCGTAGCAGTGCACACATCTAGACCAGAATGCAACACGCACAGCTTAATTGGTGCATGCGCGTCATTGACTGTGGAAAGGTGAATTAAAGCTGGACTTGGAGGTCAGTAAATGTGGCGGTTAGCATTGCAGCAAGAATGGTGGCGGGTACAGAGTATCCCTTAAATGTTAGGTGCATAGTTACATGACATCTGCCTTGCCAATTTTGTTTCATGTAATTTCATATTTTGTAGATTGTGTTTGAGGCATCTCTGCCAAACAGCTCTTCCGGTTGCATCGCCGTAGACGATATTAATATTGCCCGATACACTGGTAAGACCGGAGTTATGAGAAATGAAAAGGGATGTCAGTTTAGAACAAAAGTCTCATATATATACTTTTTAAAGTAGCATTCAAAGCTATTGAGTGGAATGTCAAAAATACATATAGCAATGCATACATTAAAAATATTTTAAATGTGTTCATATTGTCTGCAGAATTGGGTCGATCCTTGTTGTCTTTATGGGAATGGGGCCTTACTGTCCTCGCAATACAACCGTTTTCTTCACTAATTTACAGGGCCGATGACAACGCTAATGCCAACGCCATCAGTGAATAGCAGCAATGTGCGTCTGGTTGGCGGCGTGTATGCACGTGAAGGACGAGTTGAGGTCTTTTACCAAGGACTGTGGGGGACTGTTTGCGACGACGGTTGGGATTTAAGAGATGCACTTGTGGTGTGCAGGTGGCTAGGATACTCGTAAGTTGGTGTCATGCTTCTCTAACAGTAATATGAGGCACATATTTTGCAGTATTCATCAACTGTGCATCTAGCTGGTAGGTCGTATCTCATATAAAGAACGAATATATAGTGAACAGGCCCGTAACACCATCAAGATGCACAATGGTCAGTATGACCACCCTCAGAAGTGAAGAAATGGAAGCTACTATGGTACGGACTTGAAACATTATCATAAGCTATTGAAAAGGTAATATTCCAAGGCATAGTTGAAGGCGGTAAGCAAAAGGTGGTAATTTATGGAAAGACAAGTGTCTGTTTCACAAACACGTCTGGTTATGTGTGGTGTAAACAACAAATAGTCATTCTTATTTTAAATTTGCTTTTCTTAGTGTTCTTTTAACTTCTTTTAAATAGTGCAAAGATGTTCATAATGGTTGTCACACTCTCAAGGTTTTAGCAATCTTATAGCCTTCAAAGTTCTATATGTGTGTTGATATTTTGGCTGCTTTCTTCCCCATAGTAATCAGTGATCATTTCACAAATCTGCCTCGTGCCCCTGTCGCCCGTACTGGGCCCGTAACTCGAAAGCATCGCGCATTGCGACCGAGCGCAAGCGTCTCGATTTCATAGCTCGCCCATACTCGCCCCACATAATACATTCTAGCCTCTATGTGATATCGCTATTCGCAATACGCAATGAATTCGAGTTACGGGGGCCTAATTTTATCATCATAAAGATAATAATCATTCAGAAGAAGCAGCACTTATCTGCCACTACAATTGCCATTGCTCCAGAATCAGGAGTTCATCATTTACGTTGTTTTCCCGCCAAACTGTGGACAGGTTCAAGGCTCATCCGATATGTCTATGGGACAAGAAGAATGGACAAGAAGTCTTACTTAACAAGTAACAACTGCCTGGACAGGATGCGTTGTCTTACTGGAGAACCGATGTTACAAGAAAATGCACATGAAATCGAGGCCGCTAGAGACACTTCTGTTCATGTTCGGGGTGCTTTGTATTCCATTAATTCTTTTGGAAGGAAACCTCAACACCGTGGCGTCCAGAGACGTCATGAAAATTTATTCTATCCCATTGGCTTTTGCAATATTCGGAACAATTTGTGTCTGCATTGATACAACTGAACAATAAACAAAAATTTGTAACAAATCCATAAATTTTATAAGGTTTCACAACCGTTGTGCATAGAATATATCTATGCTACAAAGGAAAAGGTGTCTAATAAGATATACGTTGACAATAAATATTCCATGTGAAGCACAAACAACTATTGTATCATATTGAATGTTCAGTATTGTAATTTAGTATTTTAATTTTAATTTTTGTTTCTGTTTTGATTTTATCGGTTTAATTTTTGTTCAATGAGAAGAAGCGGTATATGGATATATTCAAAGTGATACACCATTCTGAAATACCAAAAGTTACGTTTAGTGGATTCCAGAGGTGAATTATATTGCACTCAGTACATATATATAGCTTTATTTTTAGTGACGCGGATGCTGCATACGACAATGCTCGCTTTGGAGCTGGTTCTGGCCCAATCTGGTTGGACGAAGTTTCTTGCACCGGGGAAGAAAACTCCCTGTGGGAATGTCGCCATCCTTCTGCTGGTAATCACGACTGCAGCCACAGCGAGGACGCCGGAGTCCGCTGTTCAGGTACGCGTGTTTTTCTGCCCCTGCAGTCTTCAGGAAGAGTAAAGCTTTAACAAATCTGACGAACCACACAGATAGAAATGTCTTTTTTTACTTGCCGAGAAGAACCCCGAAACTTAGACAGTAACTAGAAGCATATGCTAGTGACTGTCAAGATGATCGTCACCAAATGGCATCAGGTTGTTGCGTCTGCTCGCTTTGTGTGACTGTGTGTGTTCAAATGGGTACTGCGCTGTGAAATTTATTTTGTTATAATAATAATGATAATAATAATAATAATAATATTTATTTTTTCCAACTAAAAGTTGGATTTTTCATGCACTATCCGCCAGCCTCATGGTGACGTCGTGGAGTCCCAAAGAAAGGAGTTTCTGTAATAGTAACGAATGATCGACTTTTTATTAAACGCCTTAGTGTGTTCTACCAGTAGCATTTTAGCGTATACTAGCAGAGACATGCCGATTCTAGGGACTTGCAGTTGATATATAATATGCATGCGAGTATTTGCGAATGCCTATGTGTGTTTGGAATAAAATCAACACTAAACGTTTGCCCATATTTCTCAAATTTTACTTATTAAGGTCAAACGACCACTGTAAGGCCAACCGTGGCTATTGGCACCATCCCAAGCGTGGTCTGTGCCAACACGACCATGAACCAACCTCTGGCCAGAACCTGTGCCCAGTTTGTGGTCTGTGGAGGGTTGCCATACCTTGCCAGCTGTGACAGCGGCTTTTGGTTCTCAAAGAAAACCAGGACTTGTGTTGCGTCTTCAACACTGAGCAATGAGTGTTACCCAAGTGGAAGCAGGAAACCAGGTAACCCGTATCATTGTTATTATCAAATATTACGAGACAAGTTAGGCCCAACCCAGATAATGCTATTTTGGCTAAGATTTACATTTAAATAAACATTTTAATCAAAAGTGTAGTCACTTTGGCATTACATTTGATTTGAGCTATATACTACTGCTGAAGCGGCTTTAGTAGTTTAAAAAATCGATAAACATCGCTTGGGAAAGGGACTTATTTAATGGTTAACTTTATCGAAATGCTTTTTTTATTTTTTGAGGCATATATTATACATATGAACATATCTTTTCATGATTTTATTCTATAATCATTGCACCTAATGACATGGTACATGAGAGAGAGTGAATGTTCTGATTCCTTGAAGATTATCATTTTTCTTTACTGGTATTAAGAGAACACCCTACATTGTTATATAGTAATAACAGCGCTATTCATTGCATGATTACTATTCTTTGATTCCAGGCATCGCAACCAACTGTTCTGTTGGTTGGCAGACAAATGAAGGCCACTGTTATAAATACATAAATACTAGCATGACGTACATGGACGCTAATAGATATTGCCATTCCATGGACTCAGACTTGGTTAGCATCCATTCTGCCAGAGAACAGTCCTTTGTCAGTTCCTTGTTGAGGTACGTGCAGATCTGTTTACATAGGTTTTCACAAAATTCACAAAATAAACGGCTGTTCCAAATTTGTGTGTCTGGAAATAAGTCTACCGATCGATCCGTTTTGATTTAAACATAGTGCAAGTCACTTGCGTTACAAAAACACACACGACAGACGCATACACAAGCAAACGTACGCTGCAATGATGTTATGGTGACATGTAAATGCATATATAGGAAACGGCTTCATAATAACGGGCAATAATACATCCAATTTTCGGGATGTTGATCTCCAGTTCGCTCAGGTTGCACAGTCTATCATGTGGACTTATTTTGTTGACCACATCTGATGAAAATGAGCAATTATTCACTGTTTTATGAACCACTGCGCTAACA